GTCCAAACATGGAGGTAGTTTGAAAGTCAGTGGATAGTTTGCCCTCCACAGCCCTCTGGTGGTTTGTTGCGGTGCAAGTGCACGGTGACACTTGGTGCATATACTTATATAAAGAGGTTTATTTTGTCATAATGACGATGTAGTGTTGGTATAATACGGCCACAGCAGTGAGGACTTTTACAGTGTGTTTCGCAACACACAGTGGGTCACACAGACACAAACATAAAACACACATTTCAGGCTCATATCTTAATTTCTTATTGCAAAAATCACCTCAATGCCCACTACTGAGCACCGTCTGTCTCACAATAGATTTTTCTCCAATATTTGTAATTTATTTTATCAGTCTTCTTTGTTTTGGGTTAAAGTCATGAAAAAAACCTGATGTGCAGCAGTGGCAATTATTTTTCTGAAGTACTAAATGAATATCACTGTCCTTTGTGAAACTATTTAAAGCCACACATGGGCTGACACCTCAATAAACTGCTGAACTTCTCTGCCCCTGCTCCAACTCTCCACCTCTTCAGAATATTGTCTTCTAACTGTCCCATGACCGAGGCTGGTGGGTGAGGGAACATTGTGCCTCTGCAGTAGCTGCTCCAAAGCTTTGGACTTACAGTCCACTGTCAGTCAAATGCTCCGACTCCACTGACACTTTAAGACAAATCTCAAAATGTACGTTTTTTTAATGGCCTTTGGTTCCTTGCAGTGGTTTTATATTTTATGATTTTATTGCTTTATTCAATTCAGTATTGCTTGTATATGTGTATGTATATGTATGGTGTGTGTATGTAAAATGCCAACCACTGCACCACGGTGCCGCCACCAGACAAAATAATATGTCAGCTACATTATCCAAACCAGCCAAACATAAAAAAAATCCCATCGTGGCCTCTCAGCCCAGTCGACAATGTTAAAATTTTGTGTTTCTAAAGTGACATAGTAACTTTGCGATTCAGAGGTGGAGGGGATGGTGAATGGCGAGACACCTACCAGGCTGCAGACCACTGTTCGAGACATGACAAACGACAAAACCTGTTGAGTTTTATCGGCCTGTCACTGGTCTCCCAGTGGCTCTTTAGTCACCACAAGTGGGTATTTGTTTAGTGACCTGTTGCTGTTTTCCACAAGATAATGCCACAAGTAGAGCTTGTGTTTTACTGAGACATCGCTGTGTTTCCTGGCCAGTTAGTCCCACTTAGAGAGGCTGTGTTTTTTACTGAGACAATGCTCGTTTCCTGCTGAGATTGTGCCATTAAAAGTGGTATTTGAAGCCAGGACATGGTTCTTTTCTTGACCACAGCCAAGTGGTTTTTGTGCCTAAACCTAACCACACATTAACCCCACAGTTATTGAAAGAATTGTAAAGTTTCAACATATCCGCCACATAAAAAATGTAACGTATCTGTGTTTTGCAGAAATGTTCATCCCAACATTTATTCTGCCGATTGTTTTGGGCCTCTGAAGGGTTCTGCATATTTCTCAAGGTCAATTCAGAAAAGGTTGATTTCCTGATGTGGGTTTGAAAGTTAAACTCTGGCTTGTACAGGAAGTCAGTTGAAGTAATGTCCTGGAGCGTCTGAGGTACACTTCCAAAATTTCAAACCATAATCAGCTGGCAGTGGCTCGGCCCGTCCTAAAGCTTCAACCTCGTACCCCTCTTTGTTTCCTTTTTTCCACCACACGTTCTGTTGTTCTGACATTGTTGTCAAAACCCCTCAAAATCTACAAGTGCCTAATAGCTCTGAGGAATCAGGGTGTGCAGCCAAAAATGCCTTTCAGTAGGTCCCTTATTCTCAGCGCGGGGAGGAAGTGGTCCACAGCAGGCCCGAGGCGGCTTACGAGAGGCTATTAGAGGCCTGTGGCAGGATGCCTCACAAATCCAATTAGGAAGAGCTGGGAGCAAATCTGGACTCGACTGCTGCCTGTCAGTCAGAGCAGGAGGGAGCAGGTGTCCAGTTACCACAGACGTCACAGCGAAATATAAGTGTGTGTGTGTGTGTGTGTGTGTGTGTGTGTGTGAGGGTGATGGAGCTGTGTGTGTGTGTGTGTGTGTGCCCTCTGTCTGAAGTGTGTTAATGTGCATCATGTGTTTGTATACAGTATATTTTAAAATGTGTGTGTGAATATACTCAAACACGTCTGGGGCACATGTGTCAGCAGTGAGAGCGCTGCAGGCCGGGTCCCTTGGTAAATGTAGTCCAATCCACCGTGACCAATGGAGAATCTAACTGACTATGACCTAATCACTGATGTCATCTCCCTGCTGGACGCAAGCTTTGACTGACATCACTCGGAGGCTGCCGCTCTGAAGGAGTGTCAAAAGGTCAGAGACCCACGGCTGCGACAGTGTCATTAAACTATTAACTGTTAGAGGTGGGGGAAAAATATTTTTTGGTGATATGCTGAAAATATTTTGCCTGGCGATATTGTAGTGATACACGAATGCCAGGTATCAATCTATTATTATATATATTATCAATTTTTGCAAATACACACGGTGTTTAAATCAAACACCTGGACTAATTTTGGATTTTTGAACACAGAAGGAAAGGATGACTTAGATATGACATGTGATTTGCAAGCAGTGTTAAATGAGAAAAAAATACTCTGGGAATACGACAAACATGAGGGCTGACCTCATACTGGCGGCCAAGCTAACGCTAAACCCACTCTGCTGAAAAATCAAACACTGGACACACTTAGCTCGACAAAACGACCATCCAACTGTGAGAGACATTATCTGACAGAGGACTGGAGACTGCTGTCTCATGTTACCCTGTGTATTTCGGCCGTAAGGTCAAAGGTCACTGTGACCTCATGAAACATGTTTTTGGCCATAACTCAAGAATTCATACGCTAATTATGACAAAACTTGACACAAATGTATGACAGGATAAAATAACGAAGGTCAAAGGTCAATTTGACTGTGACATCATCATGTTTTAATTTAATTCAATTTAATTTTATATACTTTATTTTAACGTCATATCTCAGGAACAGAAGGGGAGACATTTGGTCAGATCCTGAATTGGTGACTCTAATCTTGACACTGTGCTGATTGTATAGATCTGTGCTCAGGTCGGTCTGTTCGGAGCAGCAGCAAACGTTTTATTGTTATTTTTGGGGCAGCGGGGGCGTTATGAACGCAGGTTCAACACGGACACAAAGAAGTGAATGTGGAAAAAACTATTCTCAGACATGGATAATGGGTAAAGTAGAAGCTGGTAACAAGCCAATCACAATGGCTCTGTACATTTCCTGTCAGACCAGTCATCTCCCCATTAAGTACTGACAGTCTGGTGAGAGCAGAGAATCCACAGGAGTTTTTCCCGACAGGAGACTCATCTGAGAATATGCGGAGTTTACAGCACAGCTGTGCTCCTGAGGGCAGACTGTGGCCCTTTTTTAATTCACATCAGAATTCACTGTGTTGTCTTTGAGTAATTATTGGAACTTTTTTCCAGTTTTTATTTGTAATCTCTGTTGGTGCGTGTCTACCAATTAAAGTGCAAAGTGCATTGTTGACCTGATCAGAGCAGGCTGAAGACAGACAGAACAAGACATCAAAACTTCCTCAAACTTAAAGCAGCCGTGCGTAACTTTACATTTTCATTTATTATAGCGCCCCCTTTGGTTGAAGCGGTATGACACCCACAGCCTGGTGTCGTAAAATTCCGACTGCAGCCGGCAATTACCGCATGCATTTGTTTTGGAGAGCGAGAGGAAAATGATAAATGTTCTGGTGTCGCTCTGAATTTCTTATAAACGGAGGACAACTGCCTGCTGTATATTTGTGTTCACGGTCACAGTCACAGATAATTTTGTTGTAACGTTACTAGACAAAAGCGGTTCACATCAGCTAACATTACATTTAGCTTGCTTATAACTTCCATGTCATCATATATTGAAGTGAAACAACGTCTAACAAGTTGCGGTATATTCTCTAAATAAAAACAAAAATGACATACCTGTCGATTAGGAAAAGGGCCAACTCGGGATCAGTTTTAAAACCTTTCAAATCTCTCAGCTCTCTCCACTTGGTGAAGAGAGCTTCAAGGGGAGGGTGATACGAACGAGGGACAGTTTTATGAATGGTAAAAAGTTCCGCACAGCTGCTTTAACTGTGACAGATCAGAAGTCGTCATCATTGGTCCAAAATCTCTTATAAAATCCACCCGGAACTTCTCCTTCTCCATCAACTGCTCCTCTCTCCTCCCTCCGTGTCCCTAACATCTCCTTCCTCTGTCCATCCCTCTCTTCTTCAGCTGCAGAGACTCTAGTTCATGCATTCATCACTTCCAGACTGGACACCAGCAACAGCCTCCTCTACTGTTCATCATCCAATACCCTCAAGAAACTACAGTTTATCTAGAATTCTGCCGCTTGTCTTCTCACACACTCCCACACCTGTGACCACATCACCCCTGTCCTTCATAACCTCCACTGCCCCCCCCGTCCCCCAACATATCTTCCTCAAACTCCTCATCATTACCTTTCACGCCCTCCACAACCTGCCTTTGGGCCTTCTCTTCTCTTGATAAGTGATGTCACTGGAGGCAGAGGTCTGTTGCTGTTGTCCTCTGCCTCTTTCAGCTGAGGTGGATTCATCATAAAGCTCCACTGATGGGGGTAAAATGAAGCAACTCTGGATCCTTGAATTTGGACTTCATGACTTCACGAAAAAGATAAATTATTGCAAAAGCTACATGACTTCTTTTTTAATAATATGTGACGTTTTATGCTTCTTTTCCTGCAGAGCTTTCTCTTAATGTGTGGCAGCTAATATGCACATTGCCTGATCACTAGCTGACACGGCTGCTATGCTGGTTTTTTGGTTATATGATGTCACAGTTGTTTCAAATGCTTTGTTAATAGTTTTGTAATGATTAAAACAAGGAGACAGGTCTTTGGGAAAATATCAGAAATGCTCCTTTTTCATCAGACCAGCTGTGTTGGTGTTTGATTGACAGCAGCTGGCAGGCTGAGCCCCTGCAGGACACCAGACACTCACAGACCTGCTGTAGTGCTCGAGCCGTGTGCACACTGTGGTGTCAGCGGTGGTGTAAAAGAGTGAGGATCACAGCAGCATCTAAAAGGACCAGAGTGACGTCTGCAGGTATGTTTACATGTTGTTCAACGTGCTGCAGCTGAGCAGCTAATTAACTGACTGTCCTCAAACTGATACCAGCAGAGCTCTTTTCTCTGCTTAGTGTTTGTTTAGTTCAACACACTGAGGTGCAGAGAGTTGTCTTCATGTTTGTTAGTTAGATTAGAGGGAAACTTAATATAACTGTTGTTTCAAGTCTTTGGTTTTTGTGTTGTGCAGCAGGCTGCTGTCGACTGGTGGACTGAGTGATGTGATGATACGAGGCTGAGTGTTAACATTAGAAGAAGAGGAAGATATACTTTATCAATACCAGAGGGGGAATTCCATTTTTCCCTCTGCTGACATACACACACAGGCCTGAAATACACACACATGCACAAACAGGACCTAAACATGCATTAACCCTTTGAATCCTGAGCAAACTGGGTAGAGTTCTGTTAAAAACATAGGAAGAAAGCAATGAGACATGGAATTACTCAAAAATTATCAAGAAATAAGTAAAAGTAAAAAGAAATCAAGTTAAAAACAAACAAACAAAAAATGACCTTGACAGAGTGCTTAAAGATTTTAATAATTCTTTAACATAATTTAAAATGTAATAAATATAAACATAGTTTTTCTCTGTCACTTTTTTTTTTAAAAATAATATTCTAAATCTATTATATCTTTTACAATTTGTAGGACATTTCTGTATTTTTAATTTTTTTTTTTTTTGGCATTTTTGCCTTTATTGGACAAACCGCCTCACATCACTTGCGGGGATCCAAGGGGAGAGGAGGTAGCAACATAACTCCACCTAATGGAGGCTGACGGCGCCCCAGATTAAAATGTCCAAAAACACATAATTGAAACCACAAAATATCTCCATACTGCTCGTCCGTAGTGATCCAAGTGTCCTGAAGCCCCGACATAAAAAGTTGTGCAGGCCACAGAGCTTGCACGAGACTGTGAGACATGGGCACTGCCTTCATGTGTCTTCATGTGTGTTTACGTGCTTTCGCTGGTAAGCGTGCACACGTGAGCTCAGTGTACAGAGAGGCAGTCAGAGCTACAGGCTACAATGAGGCTAAAAACAGTTCAAATGACGTTTTTCCAAACAACTTTTTATGTCGGGGCTTCAGGACACTTGGATCACTACAGACAAGCAGTATGGAGATATTTTGTGGTTTCAATTATGTGTTTTTGGACGTTTGAATCTGGGGCGCCGTCAGCCTCCATTAGGTGGAGTTGTGTTGCTACTTCCTCTCCCCTTGGATCTCTGCAAGGGATGTGAGGACTCTAAAACTTCACCTGAGCCTCCCTCGGCATATGGGTGAGTAGATAATGGCTGCATTTTCATGTTGGGTGCACTATCCCTTTAAAGGGTCACTACAGTATTTTTCAATCTGGACCCTTTTTTCCATATTTTGTCTTTAAGTGATGAATGCGAACAACAATGAAACTGCACTAGTACTAAGTGAGAGAGCTGCAGCGAGCAGCAGTGAAACAGGCTGCAATTTAACCACTCAGGACGCTTGACTGTTAATTCATGTTCACCAACAGTGTTTGTTTGTGTCACTGACAGACTCAGATTATATGTGTCCAACAACATTATGGAAAGGGTCCTTACAGAGATGGACGTGTTTGGGAGTGAAATCCTTTTTGTTTAACCAGAATCAGCCTCCAAATCAGTATCACCAAACCCACCAGACTCCATTTAAATAAACAATAATTTAGACGTGTATAGAGGCAGCATGTGTTCACATCTAACTGGGTGAATTAAGGGTTAATCTCAACCAAAGTAGAGTTGGTGATTGTTGGAACAGTGGAAAGAGGAACCAAGATGTTTTTGTGAGTTTCATTTTGTTTCTGTCAACTTTGAATGAAGTGTGTTTTACGCTGATAGAAATACTGTTTATTTAAATGTAGTCTGGTGGGTTTGGTGATGGTGATTTCAGGGCTGTTTCTGGTTAAACAAAAAGGATCTTACTCTTTAACACAAAGCTCTATCTCTGTAGAGATCCTTTCATAATGTTGTCAGACACTCAGAATAACAATCTCAGTCAAACAAACACTGTTAGTGGACATAAATTGATGGTGCACAAATGCCCCAGGTGGCTACATTGCAGCCTGTTTCACTGCTGTCGGCTGCAGCGCTCTCTCTTAATACTCGACCAAATTTCAAAACTGTTTTTCCAATCAGTCATGCAGACACAAATATATGGGAAAAACGAGACCAGGTTAAAAAACACCAAAGTTACCCTCAAAAAACAATTTTGGTTGTTGTGTGTAATATAATAAATACAGTTCACTAACAGAGGCCTTTAATGTTGTTGCAGTGGTCTGTGAGATTTTGAGGAAGAGTGACAAGAGTTTAATTTAAAATGTTCTTGTTTACAAAAGTCTGTGAACAAGTGAATTAATAAATTCACATTAGCTTGTCTCAAATAATCAAAAGATATCTGTTCCTGTTTTATTCACTTTTATCAAAGCAAGAGAAAAATGAAGGTGTGATTCAGTTTGAGATGAAGTCTGAGGACAACAGCACAACATCACTGAAATATCTCAGAGCTCTGTTTTGTCCCCGGAGCAAACAAACAGCTTTTCAAAGGTGTCACATCCACTTTAACATCAAACAACAATCTCATAAAACAGCGCTGCGTATGAAAAGCTACTTTTTTCTCAGCCTCAGAAACAGGACCACAGAGAGACAGTATTCATGGAGCTGTAATTCTGTTGCCTCCACAGAGATGAATGTCTCCTCCACATGAGAGCTGACAGGGAGGGAGAAGGCTCCTGCTGCGAGGTGGCCAATCCAAACTACAGCCCTGTAGCCCGGCTCCCCGGCGGCCCCGGCGGGCCCCGCAGTGGAACATATATCTGACAAGACTGTGTTTGGCTTACACCTCCAGGTAGTTCATACACACCATAAATATATACAGTACGGGAGCACATGCACGAGGGCTGAGAGAGGGGCGGATACAAGAAAGTGTCATCCAGTGTCTGACTAATACAGAAAGAGTTTGTCTAAATCATGTATTTGCTCACTTTAAATGGATAGTTTGGATTGTAGGAGGTACTTATCCTTAGTCAGTGTGATACATACACTAGTCAGCATGCCCCCAGTTTGGAGTCTGGCATGGAAGCTAAACAGTGAACTGCTGTTGACGGCGGCTGCAACAAAATGTAGTTTAACTACTTAAAAAAAGTCCCGCCTGAAAATAATCAATATCAGTTTAAGTGCACGCTTATTGTGGCAGCTGTTGTGGCATGTGTGCGAAGTGGACAGGAGGGGGAGTATAGGGACCTGGAAGCGGCCTTCAGTGACCGGAGCAATAAGATCTGCCCCCTCCTGAACACCACCAAGACTAAGGAGCTGAGAGCAAGACTAAGAAGATCAAAACCACCCTGCCAGCCAGTCTGCATAAGAACTAGAAATACTTGGTGTGCTCCTGGACAGCAAGCTGGACTGGTCTGTGAACACAGATGCTCTGCACAAGAAGGGGCAGAACCGCCTTGTCTTCCTCAGGAGGATTTGGATTTGCTGTCCATGCTCGATCAGACTGTGGTGGCTAGTGCCCTGTTTTATGCTGCAGTCTGTTGGGGAAGCAGCATAACAGACAAAAACAGCAGACGTCTGGACAGGCTGGTTAAAAAGGCCAGCTCAGCACTAGGCAGGAGACTGGACTCACTGTGAGCTGTTGTGAAAGGGTGCACATGGAAACAGCTGCAAGCCATAAAGGACAATGTCAACCACCCTCTCCACAACATCCTGGCTGAACAGAGGAGAAACACCAAAGTCAAAGAATAAGACAGACTAACTGATGGAGGCAGCAGTCGACCAGCAGCTCCTGTGTTCAGCTAGCTTAAATTACTGTCTTTCTCAGTGGAGCCAAAGGTTGGAATCAAAGGACATCGCCTTTTGTACATGGGGCACCTGCTTTACCAGGTGAGCTAGTGGAGGCACCAGGTGGGACTTCTTTGGGTGGCTAAAATACATTTTATTGTTAACACCTTCACAGCATCAGACTGTTTGACTTCTTTATTGGACTCCAGCGTGTCTCTCCAAACTGTTTGCGTGCCGACAGGGTAGCTGAAATATGAATATGTAGCTGAGTTCAATGTGTAATCTGGTAAAATGATAAAAAAAAAAGTTTGAGGCCTAAGATTTAAAAATAGGTAACTGCATACGTCCACTAGATGGCAGCACAGGACCATTTGCTTCAGTGACAGAGACACTAAGTATACATTTCTCACAGAGGCACACACACACACACACACACTTTATTTATTTATGACATACAGTGATATTAGATGATGAGGTTTTCTTTATATTGCCGTACACACACAACACTACAACCGTTGCTGACATAACAAAAGCATGTGGAAACCCCTGAGTGAGGTCTAAATGCTGCAGCACAAAGTGATAGCATACACAGTAATATCCCTCTCACTGTGAACATGAAATGGTTTCCCACTTTATTTCAGTAGAACCTGAGTGTCTGCACAGAGCCCCGACCTCTACCTCCTCCAACACCTCTGGGATGAACTGAAACTCTGTGCCCGGCCTTGTCCACATAGTTTGGCAAAATGGTGTGCATCAAGACTTTGACTTTCTACAGAGAAACTGAAATCAGAAATAAAGTGCTGGGTCATTGCGCCATCTGCTGGTTAAAGTGCAAAACATTCTGAAGGGACACTCCCTTTATTTGATCAAAATTAGACAAAAGCAGATGCACATGTATGTAGGTACGTATGGATCATACACTCTGTGGTGTCTTTACCGACATCCTGTGTGTGTGTGTGTGTGTGTGTGTGTGTGTGTGTGTGTGTGTGTGTGTGTGAGACATCTATATAACAAGGGTGATTAATAATTATCGCTACCTTTATTGACAGCACAGGGATCTCTGTCTCTCCACATGTTGATACGTTGCTAAGCTTTAATAGAGATATAAGCTAAGGTCGTACATCACATGTCCAAAAATACTGACTGTTCCACATCTCTAAAAACAAGGGCATTAATCTGTTGCCACAACAACCTCTGAGCTTCTGTTCAGGCTTACTACAAGATTTTGCACATGGCTGCAGGGACTTTGTTGCAGATGCCGTTCAAGTTTACCACAGAGGTGTTGGAAGGAGGTTGAGGTCAGGGCTCTTTGCAGGCCACTCAAATTTTTCAACACCAAACTGGGAAGATGTTGTCATGTTGAAACAGGAGGCAGTATTCCTAAAACTGGACGTACAGTGTCATCTAAAATATTACACACAATTTCCCTTCATTGAAATGAAGGGAGTTTTTATGTTTCCTCCAGGTGCTCCAGCTTCCTCCCACAGTCCAAAGACATGCAGGTTCAGTAGTGACTCTAAATTGCCCGTAGGTGTGAATGTGAGTGTGAACGGCTGTCTGTCTGTCTCTGTCCTTTTACACACAGATGGCGCTATAGAGCTGCAATGAAGTCCCATCTTTACGCCGCCTTTTGCATTTTTACACAGAATCAAAGAGGTGTGACATGTAACACAACAGCGTCAGCCTCTAGTGTGACATATAACATATGTGTCAGTAGCTCTTTATAAACAATAACAATGCCATCAAATGTCAATAACAATCATTTAGCGTTATATGGCAGCTGATCTCGTCCTCTGCTCGGAGGGTAAGGAGCTCCTGGATCTCATTGTTTGAGTTAGCTGCTAACTGCTAACAGCTACTTTTTTTATCTCTTGTTATGGGACGCACACGCAACATGTTGTCTTGTCTTGATGCTAGTTAACCAGTTAGCACATTAACAGCACAATCAGAGCATATTTACCGTGCGGCAGTGAACAATAACACAAACCATCAGGAAACGTTTCTGCTAAAGAGAAAAACAATCTGCTCACCGACGGTGTGTCAGGGCCTTAAAAGGCAAGACAAGTTTACTTTCATCGCACATTTCAACAATGAAGCAATTTAAAGTGGTTTACATAAAACAACAAAAGCACCAAGACAAGCTGGAAAAGAAACAAAGGGCTTTTAAAAGCAATGCATGAAGGAATTAGAGAATAGAAAATAAAAAGTTAAAATATACTAAAACAGATATGAAATACACAAATAAAAGTTACAGCGCAGTGTAAGAAATAGATAAATATTCAATTGAACAAAAGGCAGCAACAAACAGAAAAGTATTCAGTCTTGATTTCAAAGAAGTGAGAGTTGGTGCAGAGCTGCAGATTTCTGGGAGTTTGTTCCAGAAATGTGGAGCATAAAAACTAAACGCTGCTTCTCCATGTTTAGTCTCGACTCTTGACACGAAGCAGATCTGTCCCTGAAGACCTGAGAGGTCCTGATGATTCATACTGTAGCGGGTCTAACATGTATTCAGGCCCTAAACCAAAAAGAGGCTAAAGTGTCAGCCTTGTGATGGTCTGCAACCTGTACAGGGCGGACCCCACCTCTCACCAACTGCCAGCTGGGATAGGCTCCATGAATGAATGAATGAATGAAGTGAATTAAGGAGCCTTGCCCAAACAATGAAAAACATCATCAAACCATAACAAAAAAACAGTGGACAGGAGTGTCCAAATATTGTGGCCATTAAAGGAGCTATATGTAAGAATTCTAAAGCAAATAGTCTAAAATCCTCCTAATATGTCACAGAGACTAAGGAATAATGTTTATATAACATACTGATCTCACCAACAACAATAGTACGGCCAGAATATTCGCATTTCAAAAAAAATTTTGCAGTCTGCAAATCATGTTTATGTTTTGAATTTGTGTTTTGGCCTGTTGCGCCACCCACCGCCATCTACCCGTCACGCAGTCAGTAGAGTCTCAGCATCAGTTACAGTTACGACTGAGCTACAGCAGCACTGCAAGCAGCATTAGCAGTGTCCCGGTACATAGCATTAGCAGTCTCCTCCGCTGTATCCCGGCAGCAGCGTTAGCAGCAGAGAAGCCAGACTTGCTTGAACGGTCCGCTGGAAAACTGAAGATCACGGACGCGGCGACACAGCCCTTGCAGCCGCCCGTGGGCAAACAAATCAGTCTCCAGCGTGCCGCTGTCCAGCAACCTCGAATCTGTAGGGGAGGGGGGTCGGACATGACTTGCGGCAGTATTTTGAATTTGAGTGCAGTAACCTTTTTGGCCACATTCTTACATACAGCGCCTTTAAAGAGGCAACAGATAGGATTCAGGGTTTTTTTTTAGCTTGGCGCCACCTAGGATCAGTGGTGTTGCTTCGCACTGTCGCAACGACCAAATTGAACATGGGGATCAGAGATAATCAATAATATGACTCTGTTAGACTCTCTAAATTAAATAAAATGTAGGCTGTAAAGCCACCAGTATACCTCTATGTATATGTAGAATGAGAAGGTGTGTGGACACTCTACAGTGTACAGTACAAACAACCCATAGTAAATTATACCAATATGCACATGTAAACAGTCCCATTCTAGAATAAACGCTACCGTATGGAAACCATGCGGCCGGTTGGAGCTCAAATTGAATGGGAAACAAAGTCCAGTGTTCACTTAGCTGGGCGTAACTTAGCTGGGCGATGTCCGTCGATAGCTGCCTCTGTGAGAAGAGAACAGAAGGAAGGGAGGGGGGTATCACTGTCCGAGGGCTGCCGTAGAATGGCAACCAGGATGTCAGCCGACCAACACTCGCTTCCCTGGTTGCGGCGATTTGCGATGCTGGCCAGCTAGGAATGAACTAGCAGCCAGTACAGTACAGTCCTCTCTGGTCTAGCTAACATTTAGCCGTGTTACTTACTGATCCATTAGAAAGAAAGCTAGCTGGACATGGGTTTTGAAGCCTCTTTGGTCACGGAGCTCCCTCCATCTCTTGAACGCCTGACTGAGGTTTACTCTTGTTTTTCCTCTTCTTTTATCACCTTTTTGCTCTTCTTTGCCTCCTCACACAGAGGAGCTCCTTTTCTTTTGCTAGGCCGTTTTTCACTTGTCTCCAAACTTTGTCCGTCTGCCATTGTGCTCGTGACTCAACTATCTCATGCCCAGCTCCGCATAAGGACCAGCTCCAGTCCCTGATTGGCTGACCGACCAATTTCGCAATAAATGACACGTTTCCTGTCGTAAAGCAGATTTTTGGCCACTACCCTGTGCAACCCACATTATTTTCATAATGATATTTTTAGGAAAAGATGCTATCTGTTGCCTCTTTAAGTGAATGCAGTGGTGTGATTATAACAATATTATATACAGATGTGGGCAGAGAGTTATGAAACTGTGTCTCAATCATTGCATGTGTACTCAGAGTTGTGAATGTGTGCCTTCTCTAAATTTACAAAGAATATGAAAACATGTACTCAAAAATCTGAAATGGCTTTTCATTAATGTGTGAAGTGTTTACTGTAGCTTTAAGATCTGGAAAAACAGATGTGGTATTTTGCCTTTGTTAGATTGTTGAAGCTGAAGAGAGACAGGACAGGCTGGGAGAGGAGGAGGAGAAGGGATGACACGCAGCACAGGGCCTGGGCTAGAATCAAACTCAGGCTGCTGCGATAAGGACTGAACCTTTAAGGGTACGTGCTCCACCAGCTGAGCTACCAGGGCTCCCAAATTCATCAGTTCCACTTGAGTCGCAGGCTCCTGGGCTCACTCTGCCAGGCTGACACTCCTCACTGAAGAAATTCCACAGGGAAACGAGAGCGACCAAAACAATGATGGCAGAGTGAAACAGCAACCCAGTCTCACTCCCAGCTCATCCAGCGCTGAGCAAGAAGGGGCAGTTAAAAAAAAAAAAAAAGCTGTCATCACTTCTGGTAAGTGCAAAGCAGCAGTGCACGATTTGAGACAACACTACTCTGATGAAATTAGCGCACCACACAAGAAGTACGTAGTGCACATAGTGTACTACATTGAAGTGTACTAGCAGAATTTGCTGCTTGAGCAGAGCCAGGCGTACCGACATTTTCTCGACTTATCATTGGATCTGAATTGTCAGAGTGTGTCCCCTGAAAAAAACTCAGATTTGCAGATTCTTGTACGTACAGGTTTTTTACAAATCGGTGCACAGATTTGCAGATGTGTGCACATTTATCTTGGTAAACTTGCACATCTGAATACACATTCCAGATTCCTGTACACATTCACAAAGCTGAGGTCACACATGGATCAAGACACAGTATCACAGCTCTGCGGACACATTTGTGAATAATATTAATCCAGTAATGAGCTCATGAGGAGGGCAGAGACTGTAGTATATTCTATGTGATAACAGCCATTACCCAGAAAACTCAGAGTAAATCAGTTGTCAAAGGGTTAAAAAAGCGGTGCAGATTTTTCCCTTGTTTTTCCAACATGGTCAGAACAGACGCAGTCGTCATCTCCTCGCCCTTTAACTTTAAAGTGACATCTGTCAGTTGAGTCTGAGGACGGACACGTCAGGACTGACATCCTTTTTTCTTCTGTCAGAGTGATATTTCTCCTAAAACACGACACAAGTGGCTCTAAAACCACTTAAAGACGATGGGGGGCATCAGGTGGGACTGAGCGCGGCACTCTCTCACCTTTTCATCAGTGAAGATGGAAGATGGCAGAGCGCTGGGGTTACGAGGGGGCACTTAGTCAGAGGAGCCAAAGCATAAAAAGGAAAGATGAATGCACTTCATCGCCAGCACCTGGAGACAGGACAGTGTGACAGTGATGACACACAGGGTGAGGGTGGTATTTGTCAGCCATGCAGTGTGTCATTCTGCCTTTAAGATACACAGGCAGACCTGGAGCATCATCATAAATGCTTTCAGGAGAATTCATTATTTATCCATGTTGGACAGTCCTCTTTTCTCTTGCTCTTCTTCGCAGGTCATGGTTGGCTACAGATGGGGATCTCGGGGCTGGTGTGGATCCAGTGTCTTACTCAGGGACACTTCAGAGGTTCTGCCTTCAAGGTAACAACTCTGTCAGTTCAGATAATCAGGGGGAAAATCTCACTGACCTCATTTTATCTAAATGACTGACTCAGGTTTTTGCAAGTGTGATGATCAGGTGACACTTCCAGCAGCATCTGACATGAGCCCCGTTTCCACCAAGCAGTTGAGTTCAGTTCAGGAGTTCAGTTCAAGTTGTGGATGGTACCAACAGAACCGTTCCTTAGCGTCCCCATGTTTGGCCCCCCCTCTGTTGGGGTACCTAGCACACAGATCTGGTACTAAAAGGTGGAGCTAGTAACCCTGCAGTCTGATTGGTCAGTAGAGGACGGTCACTCTGGTTTTATGTAACCTCTGTTCATACATCAGTAAACTAGAACTATAAAATGAAAGAGAAAAAATTAACTTCATTCACTGGGCCGACTGCCGGCAACTTTTAAGGTGGAACTGACTGGGGTCATTTAAGAAAATCACTTAAATGAGTTTTAGATAAGAGCAAAAAAAGTAAATAATGTATTTACATTTGTGTTAGAATCAGTTTGACTTATTTCATATTTGTTGAAAGACAACATGCTTTTACCTCTGGCCCTGAACACTGACGGTGCACCACAGGTGGCTCACAGCAGAGGCCCTTTCACACTTTATTACAAATATTCTGACATCCATCAGATTTTCTGGTTCATCTTTTTATTGATTCATGTTACTGCTTTGAGTGGAAACATTTTTAATATAAGAGGATGATGAGGGGATTTGGAGTCCTGACAGTATCAGTGTTATGCTCTTCCCACTGAGCTTTGCAAAACTGCAAAAATACTGTACTGGATAAATCATATATTTTATATAAGAGACAAGATGAAGGGCTTCAGTAAAGTATTGATATCTCAGGGAAACTGTGCTTGCTGAAGAAAAAAATTAAATCAATAATCTGATGCAGACAGAGAGGGAAACTTGCTGCAATCACAGTTTTACTGGCTTCTTTTGCACATATTTTGTTTTCTCTCCAAACCAACTCTGAGCCAAAGTTTTGATTTATGACAAAGATGTATGATTAAACTGGTCTCGCAACTTTCGAACCTGCTTCAGGTTAAATCAGGTAAAAACTCAACCTGTTGTTACTTAGAAAAGTTTGTATTCTTTAAGAGGTTTGCATCAGGAACTGTATGGCTCAGAAATATAAGGGGCTTCAGGACTGTTGTGTCGACTTGCTGAGATGAGAATTGGGTCTATATGTGGTGTGACACTTTATCATTCTGAGGAGAGAAAACCACTTCTTCCATACACCCCTCGTCTTGTTAAAGGTGTTAAAGTCTCACCTGGCGTGAAGCCACCAGTCTCAGTCTGACATGGAGCTGTGCACCATCAGGCTGCAATAGGTTCACATGTGTTTGTAGTCTTGAACATCCTGTCCTGAATCACTTTAATGTTAGTGTCATGTAACATTATAACATCAATTAATAAGATAAGATAAAACTTCTTTCATCCTGAGGGAAATTGTTGTGCAGCAATTGCAAAACAAAGTTAGAGTAGTGCAGATACAAGCGTGCAACGTACAATATATAAGTACATTGAGATTAAAAACTCTTCTGCATGTGAGACAGCCAAGACAGAGTCACATAGCAGCATAAAAACCAACAGGACAACAGTGACAACTGCTCTGTCAGAATGCAACAGATATTAGAGTGCATTAAGGCAGCATTATGGAGTCTAGAGTTTTTTTGTTATTTGAAGCAGTTGCAGTGAGCTGTGACCACTTCCTTTATCCTAAATTTAAAATAACCTCTGTCAGGAGAGACTTGTTCTGACTGAAAAGATTATCTATCTACATGTGTACGCAAGTATGAGAAGTCTTTGAAAATGAAGTCTTTGTATGAAAAAGTCTTTTGTCCATCAGACCCCATCGTGATGTCATATACTCCAGGAGGGTGGTGAAGACGTAGTAGATTATAAACCCCCCCCCCTGTGGAGTCTAGAAACTGGTGGTGATGATGAGATGAGATGAAGCGGGAGCTGAGGATCTGGAAGTGAAGAGGAGTGGGCTTTTGATGAGCTCGTCCTGGGCTCTGGATCAGGTGACTGGAGGTGAATGAGGTGGAGGAGGACACGGTGATCATCCAGAACAACAGCTGACAGGAGCAGAGAGGAGAACAGATTGAAAGTTTGGCAGCAGCAACATGAATGGCTGAAGGAGACGGTGGCAAAGTTTGGTTGGCTAACAGGGAGAGGGAACAACCATAATCAGCTGACTGGAGGAAGTGGTGGGATAGAGAAAGAATGAATGGATATAGAATAAAGAAATTCCTCCTGATTGAGCTTATGCTGAGCTTCATTTAAAGAGATCAGGGTGTGGAGTTTGAGCTCGTTCTGCATCTGACACACCAGACCTGTAAGAAGTGAAATTAGCTCCATAACCACCAACTGCAACAAATAAGCCCCATCTCCACCAAACCCTTTCAGTCCAGTACCTTTGGAACCAACAGTGACCCTTCAGACATGGTACCTAGACCCTCGGTCTGTTCAGACAGTCCTCTTAAATGTGGGCGGGGTTGTTGTCACTCACTGCTCCGTCCAGCACTCGCTGTATTTCCTCATCATTTGTGACACAGATGTAAGTCTGCACCTGGTTTATCGTCCACAGAACGAGGCTGCACGCCCACATTTTCATAACAAAATAGAACAGGCTGCAGTGAGAGTCTATCTCCATGGGATATTTAAAAATAGCAGCTTTGTGCAGTGTCTGTCATCCAAGAGAGACAATAAAAACTATTGGAATGGTCAAAGTTTTCATACTGAAATTTAAGGTGTGTTGATGGAGTCACATTCATTTTAAAGCCGCATCAGATGCTTGTTAACAGCAGGTGTAAACGAGGCCTCAGAGAATTTTCCTCTCACCAAATTGCTCTCTGGGTAGCGTGCTGTGTTCATCTCTAAAATTTAACCAAATCTGGCTGCCAGGTTTGACTCTGGGCCAGATTTGGGCCCAGTGTTGGCCCCTGAAAGTGGTAATGTATCAGGGCCAATTCTGGTGCGTCATTCATTGTGTGTCTGCCAAGGATCCAACAACCAGGCGCTGTGCCTTCAGGCTGCTGCTGGTCAGAGCCTCTGAGCTCCCTGCTGAGAGAGAAGCAGATGAATTTCTCCATTAGTTCACTGATAGAGTCACAGAATGTTAGATTTCCTAGATTTCCACTTTGCAGGCAGCAGTAAAGAGTCCAAATGCCAAATGATTCTACGATATTAACCATCGAGGAACACGACAGACAGGGGATTACTTACGGTGTGACATATTTGACTGAATCACTTTGGCATCTTTGTATATCACTTCTGTTCTGTTGAAGAATTTAGTTTTAATGCTTGTAGCCGTGATGTACAGCAAAATAGGTTAGGATGAATCATCGATGTACATTTCTTGGATGAGCGGCTCCATCGTAATGCATCTTCAGCCCAGATGAACAAAGGGGGAGGAAAACATTAACTGAGCTCAGAGGAGGAATAAAAATAACTTGAAGCATGATGAAGACAAATAGTCAATGAATACTCAGATGAAAAGGTAGAAGGCAAAATACACGTTACGTTCAGTGGCGGCTGCTGGTCTTTCAAACAGGGGAAGCTCACTTTAAGTTTACATCATAAAAGTTGTCATATTGTAGCGAGGCAGTAACTTATAAAAGGAGCATTTAATTGAAGCTGTTTTTCAACCACACTCATGCCATAGAACCACAGCAACACACACCTCAAAGATTTTCAGGTGGGTGAAAAGACCTGTTACTTTTCCCCACCCTTTGCACCAAATCAATCTGAGGCGTTGATCTGCCCTGCTGTTTTCTCCTCATAAGGAAGACTATCAAATGGCTTCGCCAAAAGTCGACAATATTCAAATTGTCTGCCATTATGTGCAGCTTGCTAGCTCGCTCGCTAGCTGGGGCTGCTGCGCGAGGCTAGTGTGACCACCTGTGAGTGCTTTGGGACGGTGGAGGGGCTCACAGCAGCACCCGCTGATCGTTAGGGACAGTAACTGCAGAGCGACAGAAGTCAGAGTCTCCAAACATGAGTACAGTCTCCAATAACACCAGAAAAAGATGCTAGATTTGTCACTAGTTGTTTTTAACAAAGAAAAAGTCACAAAGAGGATTGGAGAAGTCTCCAGATCAACTCGGAACAACGGAATGAAATTTGAAAAATGCTCCAGTGGTGCTTTATATTTCAAGATCGCTGATTCGCTCATTTCGCTGTCAATCAAAAAGGGATTCAGCCTCAGACAGATCATCCAATCATCATGCAGAAGCCCAGCGTCCAGGCCAGCCAAGGCCAGCCCACTGCCCCATAAACCCCCAGAGACGCTGAGCGTCCGATGGGCGGGACAAAACCGAGCATTTATCCAATGACTGTCTAGTTTGGCTGCAGTGGAACAGCCCACTCTATGCTTCCCCATGGAAGTCTTTGGACGCTGAGCTTCCACTGTTTAATGCACTGTGACGCTACGGGAATGAATGAGAAGAAAGTCGCGTCAGTGACCTGTGATAAGTAGCTGATTCTGAACAAAAGTTGAACGCGTTCTAGCGCATATTTAGTCAATGAAATGTAAACATAACAGTACATATTTGACCACTTATTTTTTGACATTTTAGGGGAAGCTGAGCTTCCCTTGCAGTCTTAGAGCAATCGCCACTGGTTATGGTGTTTGCTTTGCCTGATGCTGAATGGTGGAAATACTGGAGACATGCTGTGTAACACAGATACTGGCTCCTTTAAGTTTATCACATTCTACTTTACCAGATATCACACAGCTAACTTTACCTAACCGTTGTCAGCAAATTTGACAACAGGATCAAACTGTTTTTGTGTTGGTGTGAGTTTGTTGTGAACATTTAACAGCTGCTGCTGTGTGAGCTCGTGATAACTGGGTAGATGTTGAATGATGGTAAAGGACTGCGGCTCTGGAGACGGTCCTTCAGCACTGCGTCCAACCTGTGTAAAGACCTGTGCCGCGGTCAGAGGTATAAATGCTCAGAAGTCTAGTGTGT